ACTCCTCGTGAAGGAGCATAGGCCTCTCAGCAGCATTCTCCATCCAACTCTGTTCTGGGCAATCCTTTCCAGCTCCGTTCAGTTCCTATTCATCATTTTTATATCTGCTTCTATTATCCGACGTAATGTGTTCTTAGGCCTTTCTCTTTTTTGTTTCCCTTCAGGATTCCAAGTTAGGGCTTGTCTTGTGATGCAGTTTGATGATTTGCGTAATGTATGTCCTATCCATTTCCATCGTCTTTTCCTAATTTCTTCTTCAGCTGGAAGTTGGTTTGTTCTCTCCCACAAAAGGATGTTGATGATGGTAACCGGCCAATGGGTGTTGAGTATCTTGCGAAGACTGAACTTTAAACTAATTACATTATTTAGAAACAATGTTTGTTTTAAACAAACATCATTTGTGATTTTATACAGATACATATCATTATCACTAAACAGGATCGGATTCAAGACTTTCAATTTTTACTAAGAACAATATTAATTTTAAACCCCTAAGCAAGAATGAAACAGTTCAACTTTTTTTTTTGGACTTTCATTTTGTGATTTATTAAGATCTGGAATAAGTACTACCAATCATAAATCGTTTCATTACTAACTTGATGAACAACATCGTTGAAAGATTTTTTCACTACAATTTTAGGAAGTCTAATACTGAAACTAAATATTAGTAGTCATGAATATAATTTATTTTTTCTAATAATGTTATTCTCATGAGAACTATAGTTCCTGAATTTTCGAAATCAAACGAGATCATAAATGTACATTAATGAATAGCTAAGTATTCCTTGATTATATACGGCTGATATTGGTTTCCAGTGAAAACCTCCTTTCAAATGTTTATTCGTAAATATTCTGATAGTATATTCATTTATAATCACTATATTATGTATGAATGGATGATAAAATTTGTTAGAAAAAGAATACTTAAGAGTTATTTAAATACATATATAGACGATAGTGTTAGGTCTGAAGCTATCACGAGTTCACTTCATCTGCGAATGAGAACAAAACTTGGTGACCAAACACCAGTAAGCTAGCTATTGATGCCTCCCTGCCCCGCTAACTAGAGGGAGACGTTCAAGCTTGGAATGGGTAGTATATTCTGCAAAACAGCCAAAAACAAGCGATAACAACAAACACAATTCAAAACATATATATACAGTGCAAAACCGTCCTTGGGGAGAGTTACCAAATAACATACTAAAAGACGCAACGGAACAATAGCATTTAAGATATTTCGCAGTGAGAAATACGACATGAAGGTGACAAGAGCGCCTTTGGCGAGAAAACGAAGCAATTCAAATCTAAATAAAATTACAAAATAAGGTCCTTTACCAAGTCAATTCTGGGTATCTAACGTTTCCAACACACAGTTAACATCATTCTTTAGTAGATCCTACTTTAATGATAGAACAGGTTATATTTGTTGAGAACAACACATTTATTTATAAAAACAAGTAAACAAAAAGTATTTGAGAAAAATTCATTTTGAATGGATAGAATGTAAAAACGAAACAGACCACATGTTTTGTCTCATTTTCGACTCGTCAGCTAAATATCTCTGCATTCTAATATTAAGATTGAATTCATCACTTTTCAGTAGCTTGAAATAGTATTCATAGTAATTTATTCATGATAAATAACTTTTGACATATTGTATATATTGAGTTAGTCTTCATATGGTGTACATACAGCCCCCAAATGCCCTGGTACGACCGAGATTGGAGAGAATCAGCTCTACCTCTCCAAAAGCTTTCACATGACAACGTGCATACAACGACTGTCACGGAAGTACTACTCACTGCCTTCTCGCGGTAGGGGTGCTGTTTACGAAATCGAGAGAATGAAAAGCGAATGTCCGACGCTTTAACCGGGTTGGTGGATATGGAGGATCCATCTAGGGGAATTGGAAAACCCTGATTCCAAACCAATGGTGCACATGGGCTCCAGTGTCCTGTAGGAACAAATGGTGTATGAACCAATTGTTTTTCACCAGATACCATGGGAATGCATCTCCTTACGTTACTCCACTGCCTTGTGAATCAGACCTTCAGGTCGAAGGCTCCACTGGTCACGGTTTCTCACCAGAACTCTGAGAATTTTCTCACGAAGCTTTTCACTAGTGAGCACATGGTAATTATCAGTATATTGGTTGTGGAGATTATTAAGTTTTTGATGATTAGTTTCTAATGTGTCTTGAATCGATCTTTACAATCATTATTTAAATGAACTACATTTTATAAAATAAATAAAGAATTTTGACAAAACTTCTTTACATCAATCCTCTTTGTTTTTCTTATGTCTTGTACTGTTAACAGTTGTAAAAATTAAGTCATAGTTTAATAAAACATAAAAACAGATGCTTATAGTTGGAAAGTGATTTCAATCAAATCAATAAAATATTGATCATCTGTTTCCTTTTTTTGCGAATTATTTTGATATTAATACACATTTGGATTAATACTGACTGATTATGACAATCGGATTTATATAATAACGATAATAAATTAAACTTCACATAAAAAAATCTAATGAGTGATCATTATGATTAGCAACTAATTTGTGGTTCTTAAATCATCAATCCCTAATGAAAAGAGGGGTGGGTAAACTTACTTACTTAAGTACTACTAACTACTATTATTGTTGTAGCATAAGATGGTGTTTATGGTTTCCCAATTTCATAAAGATCATGTAGAATATAACTGACAAGATGAATAATATCAAAGAGACTAAAATGAAATGTGTCTTTGATTGATGAACATGATTTAATTTTTTTTTCTGAAAAAATTATCGGCTTAATGAATTTGCCATTATTTATATTGAACTCCCAAACTACAGTTATTTATATATTTGTAACATGACATCACGAATTAATTTAGATTAGACAACCATTGAAAAAGTCATAAGGGATTGATTAGCTGATTCATATTATTATAAAGGTATTCAGTAAAATGAAACAGCTGCCCGATACCTCTTTATTGTTAATTAGTGTTTAACTGAATCGAGTCAGTATTATAAAACTTGGAATACAATAATTTCCATTATATACCTTGTAATTATTATTTCTATATTTGATATAGAAGTAAAACGGTTCATATGAGTTCTGATAAAAATGAACTGTAGTTTATAGAATAATCAAAGTTATCGTGTCTGTTTCAATAAGATTAACTGTATGTTGTCTACTCTATTGATCTACCAGGAGGTCCACTTATCGACTTAGAATACGCAGATGATAGCGTTGTTTGGTGAAGACACTGATAAAATGCAGAGTCTTTTAGTAGCACTAAGCAACAATGCCAAAATGTTCGAGATGCGTTTCTCCCCCCTAAATGCAAGTTGTTGCTTCAGGACTGGCCTACGTCAACACTTGAACTAAGGATAGGGAGTGAAGTAGTCGAACGCGTTGACAACTTCACTTATCTTGGAAGTTTGATCAGCCTAAATGAGTTAGTGCCTGACGAAATTTCAGCACGAATTCGAAAAGCTCGTTTGGCTTTCGTCAACTTACGTCACCTACGGCAAAGGCGAGATATCCGTCTATCAATAAAAGGACGAATTTACTGCTCAGTAGTTTGTTCTGTTTTAATTTATACCTTTCTTTCCACGAACTGATTGTTTCTCCTTGTATCATATCTTTATATGCAATTTCTTTTTTACATATTACTACCATTGACGTAACTACTTCAATGAACTTGGTGTCCTGCGTTGTAATTGACTAACTGTTTACTCTATTTGACAGAATGATATTTAATTGACTCGATTTGACAGTAAACTATATTTGAAATAGCTTGAATAATAGTTTTATACTGATGAATGAAGTGTCCTTTAAATTCCAGGGAATCATATTTTTTAATTTCAAATCCAAAATTGTATCATTCAGTACTACAAATTAACATTACCTATGAACTGATCGAATTATATTTTTAGGTTAATAAAATTTTGTTAATTCACCAAGTATTAGATACTGTATTATTTAAATGATTAATCAGTAGACGTAATCATTGTCTTTTAATGTAACTGCCGGTGATGAATCCTGTAAGCAGAATGTAAATATAGGCGAGACTGTAAATTATGGACGAACCAATCAGATTTGGCATAACAGATTTTGACACGAAATTCACTTATCCATTTGGCCGAATATCGTCTTATCATCTTAGCTGATGGCAGTTCGTGATAAAAAAAACCGTAAACTTAATTCCTAACCATCAACTGTGAATCATAATCCTTATTCTTCAAACTGCTTTATAACCTTCATTTAGCCCTGATAAATAAGTAAACATTCTCAAGGTTAGTTTAGCATCGCTCAAAGGTCGTCCATAAATTGTAGTCTCACCTAAATATACTTTCGTCAGGAAATAATAAATTCTATGAAATGAACGTTAAACATGGTTACTTTTGGGTCAGATATAACAGTTAAGTGAAAAAATATAGTAATTTGATTAATGTACCGTATAGTTGAAGCTCGAAGAAAAATATCAAATAATAATAATATCTACATTTAATACTAGAAATGTTATCATAGTAAGGGGCCTTCAGCATTGAATGTGTTATATCCTGTACCGTTGACCATTTTTCCGTTTAATCATTTGCTGATTTCTATGTACTGAAGTACACTTTTTATTAGAGACTTATATTCCGAATGCAAACCTTTTCCGGATTTCTCTTTCTGATTCGATATATCAAGCTATGTTACTCCAATATATTCATGATAGACAGTTCTAAATAACTTTGAACCTTTAAAATGACCACTTGATAAAAATTGCACTCTCCAATATCCAGTACTCATTTACTATATGAATGTGAAAAGTTGTTGAAAGTAGAGTATGCAACACATTTATTGAACATTGAAAACATTGAATGTAACCTCAGCTTAAATAAACTACATTTCACTCTCTTATTATTTTCAATTGAAATCAATCATTAATAAAATGTCATATGAATATTGTTTATCTAATCTTTAGATTGTTTAAAAGTCATTTTATATTTCTATTATTATGTAGAACGTATCAAACTATTGGCTTACGCCGATATGAATGTGTCCGAGGAGGATAAAAAACACTGGGGTATGGATAAATTAACCGGTGGTGGAAGTCGATTACGAGGATGCTTTGGAGATCGAAGAATGATATTATTCATTGTTTTTATTGCATTATTTTTAGATAATATGTTGTTAACAGTAGTCAGTAAGTTTTATCAAAAGAATGTTTTTTTCTTTCTTGAGATTGATATTTTCGAAGACTGAAGGACACTGACAAAAAATCCATTATCTAAGTCTCTTTCTAGTAGTCACTTGTCAGTAATATGCATCTGAAATCTTTTGTGAACCGATTCTCAATTAATTACATCAAGATTATAGATACACCTGACAGAATGCCAACTATCATGAAACCTAAGTTTACCGTTTCTTATCGACTATCTTCAACTATCTACCACTAAAACATACACGAGACAATGTTTAGTCACATTGTAAAATGATCAATAGAATTCGATTATCACTAAAAACTAAGTAAACGTAACAATGATCACCATTCAGTTAATAATAATCTATAAATATCTATATATACTTTGCATAGTATTAATACGTCTCTATAGAAATTTAACTGGATAATGTTCAAATAAATGCAAACGATTTAGTACTGATTAATTTATGTTCGTTTTTACGTAGATTTTGTTCGATTTGTTATCAGATAAGTAATCTAACCATGCTGTTTTGACAACATTCTTTTTTATATTTACAAACATTGAATTCCCATTATCACCCTGTTGGTCATGGGTCGTTTTGTCTCAAATATACTTTCATATGATTAGATCATCAGCTTAGCTAAGAATCTTTGTTTTTTTGGTTCGGTCACTTCAATTATTTTATCAATTCAGTTGAATCTTCATAGTCAATAGAAAATTCTTTGAATCTCTAATTCTAGGGGTTATGAAAATTGGTTGGGAAAGAATAATTTAATTCTGATCTTAATTAAATGTTAATTGTTCTAATGAGATAGGAAACAATGTCCAGTAAAATATATTCAGACTTTGTATGCACAAATCAATGTGCACACAATTTACCAACTATCTAATGCTACTTTCGATAAAGGCTTTTTCATTGTCCTCTATCTAACCAAATTATTCATCAATATAACATGAAATAGCTACAAATTATATTAGAATCTAACAAAATTTTGAAATCATGCTTTTAAAGCAGAAAGATAGAACTTTAGAGCTTCATCTTAGTTTCAAACGAAGGTACATTCTATGACAGACTGTTTCTTATGATTTCGTAGTTCACAGCTTAAACATACCCTAAACAAACATCGAAAACCAAGAAGCACTAAACAGGTGTTCCATCCGAGTATGGAACTACGGTAGTTTTAATCCACAATTCTGAAAAGAATTAAACTCAGGATATTGAAGTTAACAGTTAAGTTCTTAACTTTCAGGTCACTGAAATGGCATCCAATGATCTACATTTTTGACTTTAATCATTTAGGGATGTTGCTGGACGATCAACACACTAGTCTAATAGGGCAGTGTTTACCACTGGATCTGAATTAAATCTCTTATCATTCTTTGACACGCATTGCTGAAAAGTTTAGTAAGTATTAATTTTCAAATGTCTCAGTTGATGTCAGTTCGTGCAGAAATTAACTCCTAAATTGACCGTTTTACTTAAATTGAGTGATAACTATGAGTAGATATCATTTTTAACTACATATAAACATTATACATATCGATTTATTATACTTAAAATAAAATCTGTCTGTTTACTAATCACTCTTCGTGAACATAGTTGGTATTACCAAGATTTTACTTCATCATTTCAAGATAAACTGTACATCAAGTAAATTGTTTTCCTCTGTGAAGTTTCTCTGAGATAAATGGCTTAAATGTGGACCTTTCAGAGTTCTTCTGTACAACATTATTATAGCAAGCGTCAGTTAGAAATGAGGTCTTCCAATTTTTGCTTGTCCCATCTATCTTGATCTTGATTGGATACTCTTGACCTTTAGCTTTTCGTTGTCTTCATCCTTAATTTGACTGTCTCATCCTTTGAACTAATTCAGGATCCCAAATTTGTCCATTATTTTTTAATTGGTTGACAAATTTTATTGATTTCAAATCGGCTTTTGTGGCAAGCTTCTCCATTATCAGCTCTTACTTCAAGTAAAACATCCGCCTTACTTGCGAAACTTCTGGTAAATCATCGATTTTCGTTTTCAAACTAAGCAACAGTTTAATATCTATACCTCTTAGCAATAATTTTAGTCCATATAGTGGTGTATGGTTTCGTTTAGAGGGATTGAATAACTTGATATGTGAAATAATTATTTTCATATTTCTAAATATATTTCTTTATTCTTAATACAGTTCCAATTATACCCGACTTCTTATTATCTCATCAAACAACGAATCTTTCAACATCTATTGATGAAACTTTATTAGGAGATAAATATTGTACAAAATTATTAAATGTCACTGATAAAATTAATCTGCAAAAATCAATAATTTGGGCATCAAGAGGACATGCTGTCCAGCATCAACCAATAGGATTATCAGATCAATTGAAAATAATGTTAGACGATAAACGAATTCAGTATTTACTTGCTGATACTAGATTTAATGAGTGTATGGTAAATGCAACAATAGAAATTGAAAAAATCACCGCTGAAGAATTGGGAAATGAACATATTCAAGTTGGTATAATGTTTGCATCAAAAGCGATAGTACAAATGATTGCAAATCCTATGATTGGTCCATTAACAAACAGGTGAGATACATCTTAATAATTTTTTTTTGTAAATTTATATAATCAGTAGACCTGCAAAAGAGAAAAGAATAGCTTATTTAAGCTGGATTAAATGTACGGTTTCCTATACTACAACGTTCAAACATTATATTAGTTTCCTTGATCAATCCAACCCATAGCTACATGATTATCATGTATATGCTGAAATGAACAGTAAGAATTTCCAGTTCCTTTGAAAGCATTACTACAGTTGATCAGTATCAGTTGTATGAGTATGACATCTATCTGAAATTAAGGAACAGAAATTGAAAAAAAAGTGAGTTATTTAACCTGACAAAACGTTAAAATGGATTGCATAAAAATTTCTTCCATACAACAAAATTTGTGATTCCAAGTATTCATATACAATTTGTTGTTTAAACATAAATAATGAAAGTTGCACCAAACAGAATTGAACTAATGTGATAACGTCATAAGGTTATTTCCGTGATAAAATATGGAATACATATGTGATGGGACTTAAAGAGAACAATAATAAGGTTTATCATTCTCAAGACTTGATTTTATCGTTATCATTATCTTCGTAAAAGCAACATTTTTTACTTAGTTGAAGATAGTTTTTTATTACAAGCAGACATCAGATGGATAGACGTTTTGTTCTAGTTTATGACTTTTCAATGACTGTCATTAATAACTTCAAAACGAGATTATAATTAGAATTTTCATAATAATATCGTCATAAACAGAATTAGATAAAAAAATGGTTAATAATTTCAATATCGATCAAACCACATTATAACACGATAGTCATTCATTGTTACTGGTGATATAAGTTGTACTTTTGTTGGAGTTAAACTCTATAGGTGACATATAATTAGAACCTATCTTACTCTTAACAAAACTAGTCACTAATACACATAGCCAAGTTTAATTTTCAGCATGGAGATCTGTGGAGATTGTAGTATTTTCACAGTTGAAATCACGAGTCAATCTAAGCCAAACCACCATTGGAAATCTGAAGACACTGAACTGTCGTTCTGCTGGAGTTTAGAATTTCACATTAGTACACACTCACGAACCTACATGTGTGACTTGAACCAGGGATTTTCAGCTTCGTAAGCGAACATCTAACCTCTAGACCATTGAGTCGGCATCCATCAGTGTTATTGTCTAGCTTAAATCAATCCATGATCTTGCGCAACCCTTCATCACTTATATGAGGTTAATAAATTTCTCACAGACGACACAGATTGGACTCCACTGGTCATAGCTTCTTACTAGAACTCCAGATGTTACATCATGGAACTATTCACACTTAAATTAATCTTTGTAACATGTATATAAAACAAAATTAGATTAATACTTGTTTATTTAGGATATTTTTCGCGTTTTTTCTGTTTTCACTTACCTCAAAGCTTAATAGTTCATATTTCAAACTCAGTGGAGTTTTATGCGAATATTTTTCATGGCATAAATTAAACAGAAGTCATTCAATTTTATTTTTCTAAATTTCAGAATTGGCTACAGTGTTCCAATGTTTACTGGATTTGTGATAATGTTTACATCTACTATCGGTAGGTTTTGATTATTTTAAAGCTCATTTTCTTACGTTATATTTTAAAGCCTTTAATGTTGAGTGGTAACCAATGACATATTTGTCTAGTCTGTTGTGATGATCGAGTTCTAACGATGAAGTTGTAATTTGATCACTAGTTAGAATGCTACAATATAGTGCATAGTATGTATAAATATTAGGTGATTGGTGGACATCAGTGAGATATCCTGAACTTACTTTTTGTGCTAGTTAGGACAATTAACTAATGTGTTTTTTAAAATCGATCAATACTAAGAACTAGACAAACATGATACTTGCTTACTGGATATTAATCAGCCATTTCAAGGATACGACCATGGACTAGAGATTTTCAATCATAGAGTCCACTAATGATGGGTTAACTTCAAGTCAATTGAGAATAATGACCTTCACTCTAACCAATAACGTAAATGGATTCTAACTTCTAGTGGATTGCGTAGCTGATTGATCTTTAATGGTAAATCAGGAAATGAAGACAGAAAGCTGATTTATCATCTGTTATTATAGTGTTGTCGTGGCTCAAAAGCTTAGTACTATATTAGACAACAACGTGACTACAACATGCCACAGCTTAGAAATCAAGCTCATCTAAAGTAGAAAACTATGTAACAAGGACATAATTGATTCACGAACAGTAAGAGATACACCATCAATTGATGAATTAAATGAAAGTTTACAATTAGGGTAATTTAAAAATGTCATAAACTAAATATTTAATGGTTACATAGAAAAAATGTCTATGAGAACTCACGGTAGGAAAGTGCGGAAAGTTTCACTCTTGCTGAAATATCCTATTTCTAACATTTATCCAAAATATGTAAGTAAAAATTTATTTTGCTGAAAAGCATCTGTGGTATATACCATAAGATACTCATATAGTTCCAGAAAAAAATAGCCCACTGGCATAAAAAAAAATAAACCCTAGATAGATAACGACTGAACATCAGGAGGTACGAGACAGTAATAAAAGTCCTTATATGGGATTCTTCAATTATGTAAATCCACAACCCTACTACTTATGAAGTCAGGATCTTCAAATCTTACGGAGAGCAGTCAACTTGCACACTACCAAGTTGTCATTCAATGGTTTATATTTCTAATTTAGATTGATATTGCTCTATTGGCTAATAACTGTTTTACAGTCGACATGACTGAACTCCACTTACCAGTTCGAAATATAAACTATAAAATTACACAATATTTACATACTTGTTACACTCAGAAAAGTATATTATTGAACGACTACAGTTTAGTCTTTTGGTAATTTTTCTCTCTTTATCACTTATTCTCTTATAGTGTTTGCATTTGGTGAAAGCTATACAGTTCTATTTTTTGCCAGAGCTTTACAAGGTGTTGGATCTGCTTGTTCCAGTGTATCAGGTAGTATTCAATGAATAAAGATTGATTTTTGATAATATCTAAAACATGGATTCTAATAATTTATATGTACATGTCGGCTGGGTATTTCTATATCTTATAATGAAATGTTCATATTATTATTATTATTACTTTTTTGAGTTGAAACAATTTCTGAGTGCAGTTTCATTCGATTACTTACTTACGCTTGTTACTCCTTATGAAGGAGCAGAGGTCGCCCACTAGCATTCTCCATCCAACTTTGTCCTCAGCAATCCTTTCCAGTTGTTTCCAGTTGCTATTCATCCTTTTCATGTCTGCTTCCAATTATCGATGCAATGTGTCCTTTAATCTTCCTCTTTTTCGTTCCTCTTATGGACTACAAGTTAGCTTTTGCCTCATGGTGCAGTTTGATAATTTTCGTAATGTCCTATCACCTCCAGCGTCATTTTCTATTTTCCTCTTCATTTAGAAGCTGTTTTATTCTCTCCCACAGTAGACTATTTCTGATGGTATCCGGTCAACGGACATTAAGTATATTGAGCAGAAAATTGTTTATAAATACTTGTACTTCTTCGATGATGGTTGTGGTAGTTCTCCAAGTTTCATCTCCATGCAGCAGAACTGTCTTGAAGTTAGTTAGTATAAGAAATCTTGTTCAACACAATGCTCAAAAATTAACTGCATTCCATCTTGGAAGAAATCGATCCATAGTACCCATGACCTCCGGTCTCGCGCGTGAACGCCTAACCTCTAGACCACTGAGCTGGCCGGCATCAGAAGCTGTCAATGTCTAACTTCAGCCAATACACGAAATCGCACGACCATCTTTCATTGTCTAAGGTAGATACCCGTCTCTACCTGGCACAGTGTAGATCCACTGGTCACGGCTTCTCAATAGAACTCCAAGGATTTCCTCACGAAGCAAGTATTTACCTGTTTTTTGGTAATACTATGCATCGCTTTGCTTATATTATATATTATATATATAGAAATAACAAATGTTTGTCAAGGGTTATCAAGATTGTCGAGCTCACATCGATGCAATGAATGGATCAATGTGAAATCACCACTGAAAATCTGGAAGCGTCCGCTCGCGAGAGCGAAGCTCCTGGTTTCGAATCTCGCTTGTGGAATTGTGGATGAACACTACTGAAGGTTGACACACTAGGACAAAACGGCCATCTAGTGCTTCCAGGTTTTTAATGGTAGTTTAACACTGATCCATTCATTCAACATTAACACAAACTCAGCGAATTTGACTCGCAGAATTAGTTGATATTTCTTTATATACATTAGTAGAACTAGAATTTTTACCCGATAGATTTCTCATGTATTTATTATTATTATTATTATTATTATTATTATTATTACAACAGGAATGGGAATGTTAGCCACTTGTTACACTGACGATAAAGATAGAAGCCATGCTTTCTCAGTTGCACTTAGTGGATTGGCTATTGGTGTATTGGGTAGGTTCACTGATTTATTGTAAAATTATGTATGGTTTTATTCGCCAATAAAAAATATGCTGAAATCATGAAGTTTATTATTAGAACACTTTACATCTCAAAATGAATGCAATCGAATATTAGAATCACTGTACTTAACTCAATCTATAAAATTCATTAATTTCAGATGTTAGTTGTTTGGTAGTGGTTAGCTGAAAACAAGTTTTTAAGTTAGTTAACTTCCATCAATAAAGTGTACATATAATGAAGAGAGAACTGTTTCTCTCTATAGGATTTGGATCCATGTCATTCAACTTCACAACACAAAGCATTACCACTGGGCAACTCTGAGCATAACTGACCTGACTTAAGGTTTCCTTGTGACTGATTTCAATGTATTAATAGAGTGTACATAGTTTCGAATCACTCATACTGGAACGTGATTGGTAAGATTCGACCAACGGTAAAGAAAAGATAGATATTGAATTGGTCACTACTCAGTGAGCAGTCTACTATCATTATTTTCTCCCTGAGACCTTTAAGATATATGATGTGAGAATTTGAATAATCCTAAAATCGGATTCAATAATTATTTATTCACGACTAATGTTTTACAGATATATCAGCTCCTAATGAACTTCGCTTTCTAGTATGAATCATTATTCGCAAAGAGATTTGTGGGCAAAATTATGACCTAAGTTTATCTCATTCCATTTAACAGGATAGTTTCTTATTAAATAGCCTTAAGTAGATGAAATACATTGAAGTATAGGTTTTAAAATTTCATAAAAATTGGTCGTCCAAAGTGACCACCGATTTATCAGCGTACAAATCTTTCGAAGTTTTGTAATGAAGCTATCATTTATAAATATTACCCGGAATATTGAGTGTACGCCGACCACTATCATCTTGAAATTTGTTGTCATTTATAATTTCAGTTATTATTTTCACGACCATTAAAAACTTTTGATGGATTAAGATATCCAATTTATGATAGAAAATTTATTCAAATGAATAATCATGGATTTTAAATCGCAAACTGACTTTAGTCAGACCATCATTAAAAACTTGAAATTACTGGATGGTCATTCCGTCCTAGTATAAAACTTCTCAGCAGTACGCATCCACGACCATGTATATAAGGGATGAACTCAGAACCTTCGATCTTGTGCATGAACGCCTAAATTGTAAACCACTGAACAGGTATCCGACGGCATTAATATTTAATCATCTGAATCGTTTAAAGAATAGGAAATTTCAAAGAAACGCAAAATATGTAGAAATCACAAATATAAATTATTTGAATTCAAGCTTATATTCAACACTGAAAATAATGTAATCAACATCATCATAGATTATTCTAAATGTAGAAATACAAGAAACAGTTATAAGTGTTTCTGTTTAAGAAGAAATATTTCCTAGTATTTTGTTTTTGATAGAAAAAATGTTAATCATGTGCTTAGTATAGATTAAGATCAATCATTGAGAATGAATGAATAATATAATGTAATAATAGTACAAGCCTGTTAACAAGTAATTTGAATGAAAAGAAGGATTAATTCTGACAAACAACTAATTCCTTTTTAAAATTATCATATGTATATATTGAGATGAGATATGTTAAATAAAAATCAAATTAAGCTTACTTAAACTTGTTATAAGTAGTACTATGTATCTATATGTTAAAAATGGAAAATATCACATTAATGGTGTTACCGTATCTGTATTGAATGAACACTTAAAGCATAATCATTCAGTGATTTAGCAAAATGTAAAGATCACACATCAAATACATTATTCGTACATCTTCTTTGAATAGTCTCTTACAAGCTTCATTGTTCCTTTATTGCTGTTGTTATGTTGAATTCTGTCAGCTTTCTTCTCTCTTCTCTTTAGTTTTATCTTTTAAACCTTCTTTTTGCAGACATTGAACTCCCGACTGGTGTAATGTACTACTTATATCTGCAAACACAAGTAGTATACACCACGTACCTAGTTTTCAACTGGTTCAGTTTATTTTGCCTGTAAAAACTTTAATTTAAAAATATCATTTTTGTGTGTGCCTTTTTTTATTCGTAAGAGTAGTAGATGAGGTCATTTAAAGAGAATTATATCTAGTTCGTATAATTTACTATTTGACTTCCCATTAAAACCTTGATAAATGACTAGGAAATGTTCAATATTATTTGCAACTGAGGCATCTTTATTCATTTTTATCATTGATTTGATGTAAAATGTCGAAATATATATTTCACTATTAGTTACAGCATATGGTTAATTATGTTAATGGTGTCATAATGTGTTAGCCAACTTCCAAGGTCTATTATGTAATATTTTAAGCTAATAAAGTTTGACTTAAAACTTCAGGTGGGCATCTTTATCATTGCATAAGTATAATTCAAACAATAAAACTAACAGTTTTCTGTTACTGTTATCTTCCATTTCTAATGTAACCAAACTCTGTAATAAATTGATATGACTAGAGTTACGTGGTTGAAATATCCTTTACAAATAGTATTATTCACAGTTGGTACTATGACGAGTGATAGACAGACAACCATTAAAAAAGCCAGGTAGCACTGAATAGCTATTTTATGTTTGTATGAGACAAGTATGAAACTAATCAGTAAAGAGTATGCATAACTACACTGGAGACGGAACTCAAAACCTTCAGTTTAACGTATAAGCTTTGAATCTCCTAGATCATTAAGTCAATATCCAATCTTGTACATTTCTAACTTCAATCAACTAGAGACATCGCCTGATCACCTACCATTGTTTATGGTGTATAAAAGTCTCACATAACACAGTTGAACTATTCTAGTCACGGGTTTCTCAATGAAGGGGTGACTAAATATGATGTTAAATAAAATATTCCAGAAATTAACAATCATGAACTCTTTATTAATAAATAATAAGCTATTGATTTTGTCGTTAATACAATTAGTTTTATTCTTCTCGTTCATACTCAAGCATATAATGTGAAAATATTAACAATGGTTTTGATCATTCCATTGTTGGTATTTTTGACTAAAATTTGATCTAGATACATCCAACTGACGAGTCTCAAGTGGGACGAAACGTGCGTACTGGATTCTACTGCTAGTCACATTCCATCTACTCTATATTATTATGAAAGTATATTTTAAGAAAGGGGTCATTAATGTGTCGTTTGAATAAAAATTAAAAAAGAAAAAAACAATGTTTACTTTTCATTAGTTTACATTAAGATTGTCCCTTTTTTTATTATAGTTGGACCACCATTCGGGGGTATCACTTATCAATTCATTAGTAAAGAAGCACCATTTTTAATTTTGGCAGCGCTAGCCTTAGCTGATGGAAGTAAGTGAAGTTTTGCCGAAATTTCAGAATGGAAACGATTTAAGGAAAACTGGGCAAATGATGTTTGTATTTTATGTTTTGATAAAACTTAAAAATGAATGACCTTTGTGTTATATTACATAAAATGTAAAGCTGGAATTAATTTTCCTACGGCTCAAAATATTTAAAATTATGATGAAATATTATTTTCTTCTTTCATAGCATAAAACCCCCCAAAATGCCCTGGTACGGTCGAGGGTGGGGGTAGTTAGTCTTTCCTCTCGAAATGCTCTCACATTACCACGCGTATGCAACCACTGTCAAGGGATCTTACTTACTGCCTTCTTGTGGCGGGGGCGATGCTTAGGAGCTTGAGAGAACGAAAAGCGAATGTCCGGCACTTTAACCGGGTTTGTAGATATGGAGGATCCTTCTACGGGGGTTGGAAAACCCTGATTCCAAACCAATAGTGCATCTGGGCTCCAGAATCCTGAGTGACCGAATGGCCAGTGAACCAATTATTGGTCACCGGCTACACTGAGACTGCATCTCCTGATGTTGCTCCGTTGCCTTGTGGATCACACCTTCGGATCTAAGGCTCCGGATCTGGGCATTCGGGCAGTATTACAGGCCATACACAAACCAATTGACTCGTGTTGCGCATATGTATTTGGTGCCCCTTTGTACCAGTATTTATATATTTAAATAAATATATAGTATGAAAATAATGGTGTTAAATGGTCAGTTTTTACAATGTATATTGTATACAGCATGCAAATCAAATTTAGCTCTAAATTTCCAAGGAGTAACGTGGAAACTGTAGAACTAATTAGGTCTTCATAGAGCTTGATGAAGAGTCGTCTTTTATGACGAGAAAGAGAATTTGATATCTCTTTTCATATGTGTAGACAGAGATCCATTGTAGAAGATTTAAACCAATCCAATGATTATGTAAGATGGATGCTAGGTTCATAGCCTCAATGTGAATGTAAACACTTGACTTTATTTATATTCAGCTAATGAGTCCCGAATAATGTGGAATATACCTCCTTGGTTATGTCATGATGGAATATTAGGGAATATAATTAGCTTATCTTTATCATTCATTTTTTTAATAATGAACCGAATGAGATGATTGATGAGACTATAATTTATGGACGACCTTTGAGTGACGCTAAACTGACCTTGAGAGTATCCAGCTAATAACTAGGACTAAGTGAAGGTAATAAACCAGTGTGAGGGATTAGAATTATGATTTACAGTTAATGGTTAGGGTTATGAATTAGATTTAGGGTTTTCATCACGAACTGACATAAGCTATAATGCCAAAACGTTATATAGCCAAATTGATGGGTGAATTTCGCGCAAAAATCCGAGACTTGATATCGTAAATTTGATTAGTTCGTCCATAATTTATAGTCTTTCCAGATGATCTCCAACGTTCATACTACATCAATACAATTACCTATTTACTTACAAATGCTTTTTTAGCTTTACAATTAATTGCACTGAAACCAAAAGTACGTAAAGAAGATCAAAAAGGTGCTGCATTATGTGAACTTTTAAGAGATCCATATATATTGATCGCTTCAGGTAATTTTTTTTGAAATATAATTAATAATTTCTCAGTTATTTCTTTGAATTAAATTATCTTAAAGACTTCTTGATTATGTTTCATTATTTGAATGATATATTATATACTTTACTACTAGCAAACGATCTTGAAAAGTTATGTTTAAGTTATTAAATAAAAGTAAACAACTTATCTGATTATTTCGTAATTGATACTACGGACTATTCACAATCTGACAATCATTACAAACCCGGAAACTGTGGATAGTTGCTTCGTTATAGTATGGAATTATTCAGTAGTTTGAATCGATGAACCCAAACGAAGATGGAAATCAGAACCTCCAAATTTCGTATCAAGCCCCTAATCTTTAGACCACTGATTACATTAGTAATGCAGCTAATAATTAAATTTGTGTTATTACTGTTAATAGATTAGAATAGAATAAGATACTGTCAGGAGACTAGTAAGTATAAGGAGTACAATTTACTAAATAATTGAGAAATAAATGGTGTTAACAGGATACTGATAACTGGTTCAGGTTTGTGCCAATACCCATATGTTAGTTTATGTGATGGCACGTAATAAAAAAGTATTTCAAATCAGAATACAGGATATACTTCGAATGCAATTTAACATTAAGTGCTAAGTGAACATTTTTAAAAGAACATTCATTAATTTGAAAACATTTCTCATCGCGAACTTAAGAAATTTTTTTTGAACTAGGACTTATTGTAAAACCGTTCATAGTGCATAGACCGTCTTGAACAATATCTATAATTCAACCTATATTTACACACTGAGCGACATGTACATCATTCATGAGTATGTCAATATTGTGTCGACATTGAAATAATATACTACATAGAACCATTTTATGATGATAGTATATTGAAGGGGAACACAGGTAAGTACAATCGATTTGTACTCAGCACACAATTACAGAGTTACGTGATAAAATAGAAAAACCATATTATAATACTTAATTTGCAAAATGTTCAATAATTGTCTCGAACTTCATTGGTCTTGCATTTCCATACCAATTGCTTTCTATTCCCGCTTTTCCTTTCTTGATTTTCCCCATCTTCTGCCTCCAGATATTACATTCCTGACTCGCATTATATACTACTTATATCAATATAAGTAACAAGCACCACAATAGTGTTTGTGTATTCTTAGTGAAGAACATGATCTCTTATGATCTCTTAACAAAAATATCAACGACAGACACCACATTCTGAGTATTTAGTAAAAAAATAAACGTTTGAAAGTGTTCGATGGATGAAACATTTCTGACTTTCTTCTTAGAAATATAGGAATAAATAATCCATTTCAATTTAATCGAGACAAACTTGTGTTATGTTAAGATCTATTTAAACTACCAGTTTCGTTACATATTTTTCTGTATAGTTAAATTGAAGTAAATAAAACGTATTGAAGTTTATCGCAAATTAAAGCCTAACAATTATAATCATCAGGTAATAATTTTGAATATTTAACATCATTTAAATTTAAATTCACTTGGTATTATTTGCTTGTATTTTGGCATTGTTGTTAAGGGCTGCAATTTATCAGTCTCTTATTGGCATTTGTGAATCCTGTACGGATTGCGTCGTTATTACCTTAAGTCACAAGCTTTATAAACAATGATAGATAATGGTTAGCAGTGAAATCAAGGAAGTACGTTTCGTCCTATTTGAGACGCATAGATGCAGATACATTCAGCTAATAAGTCCGAAATAAGACGAAACGCTTCTGAGTCTCGTCATTTCTCTTTTTCTTTCCTCTTCAAATTACCAATTACATATCTTAAACAAAGATTGTTTTCTTTTTGGTACAATTCAATGGGTTTTTTTTAATTATTAGGTTCAATAACTTTTGGTAATATGGGCATTGCTTTACTTGAATCATCTTTACCATTATGGATGTGGAAAACAATGAAATCAGAAGGATGGCAACAAGGTGTTGCATTTTTACCATGTAGTATTGCATATTTTATTGGGACAAATATATTTGGACCAATTGCTCATAAAATTGGTCGAGGTATAAGTGCTGGTCTTGGTATGATTATATGTGGAATATGTTTACTTTCTGTAAGTCATCTGATTTTTAACTTATAATATAATATTCATTTATTTGTTAATACACAATGATACTGAATTATTGACATTAGTTGGACATTATATGTTGATGTATTTTCTCACTTAATTGTAGTTGGGAAAATCGTAATGAAGAAAAAAGTGATAAAAAGAAAATACATACTGTTCATAGTAACTTTAACAAAACAAATTTATCACGAACGTTTACAGAAATTAGGAATATGGACCTTTTTTACTCAATCTATATGTAACGCTACTTCTAAAACATCAGTACACCATCTGGTAGTGTTGTGAAATGAACTGCTGAAGAGTTAATTATCAAGAGAAAACAAGTGCTACTTGATATTCAAGAATTCCTTAGTTGATGTCATTTCGTAACGTAACTTTTATTTATTTATTTATTTCAACACATAGATAATGGTACAAAGAGGCACCAAATACATATGCGCCACACAAATCTCATTCGATATGTGTGAGGGCTGTGATACTGCCCGGGTGCCCAAACGTAACTTATTGATAAGCGCATGTATATTCATTGTATTTCCAGATCAAAAAGTTATAGAAACTCTCCTAACCCTAGAATTAAATCTTTCCAAAGAATATGATCCAGTTAATTGAATGATTTCTTAATCAATTTACATTAAACTTTCAGAAATGAAAATGGTAATGCTATTTACACTATAAGTTCTAAACACAACCCTTGTTATTAAATCGTAGAATTTCAAGCCTAATGCATAGTGCTCTATTTTCAAATAGTTTGATATTTGCTATGCCCAAAGCCGCCAATCAGAAGCAGCGAATTATCGATCAGATCAAGGACGCGTAAAACACGTAGGAGCAGCCTAGAGTCCTGATTGACCCTGCTTTCCACCTAGCCCAGTCGGTTAAGTCCAGAACACCAATATCAACCTCTGCGATATGAATCCTTATATTTCAAACATACTGAGTTTATATACCAATCAAACAGACCACAACGTAACATAAAATAGAAAACAACATTTTTACAAGAACTGGTAAAATGTGGCTGTGAATGTGGGAGGCAGAGACTAATAAACAGGGCATAATTCAAGAATAGTAAAACGTATAATAATGGTTCATAGGTCAACATAAAGTTTATAATAAGATGAATATGAATATGAATAGTTGTTATTTAACAATTACACGATAAAAATATACGTATAGTATTGGTCCATAAAAGGATCCCAAAATTACCATTCATTATGTTTATCGGGACCTAAGAATAGTGTACTAAATTTACTAATAAATGAGAATCACAGTAAGTAGATATTCAGAAAGTAAGTTTCTATGAATTATGTAATCAAATGTTTGACTATTGATTATAAATGGTCAAATCAAGTGAATTCCCTCGACAAAAAAATTAATTTTTATGACATTTAATTCATTTGAAGTACAAATCTCGTTTTATTTCTTACCATGTGATCAATGTAGATTCCATTTTGTACAAGAATTGAACATTTAATTGCTCCCATGGGCGGACTTGGATTCGCTATAGGTATGTAAACTACAATTGATAGTTTATTTTAATACTTTATTTATTTATTTATTAGTACCACAGTGTTAAGGTTCCAATTTGCTCAGAGCTATGCTCAATCTCAGCATAATTTGTTATTACTTCGTCATCAAAGGGCTAAGAACTAAGGATGAATTAGAACTATTCTTGGAATGAAGAATGGAAAATTATTTTTTAAAGAAAAATAAAAATGATTTGTAGCCTGAATGTTATTGAGGTGGTACAATAAATTATGCAAGGTATAAACAGATTGAACATAGTGCTTCGTATTTAATGGAGTATTCATTCACCTTTATAATAAGATTGATTTGCAACCAAATTATGTTGCACTAACCCATGTTTTGAAGTTGAAATTAGTTCGTCATGTACACCCTGATATTAAATCCTGACCCTAAAATTTAATTGTAAACCCCAATCTTAATTCTTAACCAAACTCCTACTTCTTAACATCCCCCCTTGACTAGAAGAAACAACTCAAATGAAAAACTTTGTTGTTCACGTCAAAACTCTTTAATCTTTGTAATTTTATCACTTTCCTCTGCTTGCTTCATCGCACACTACTTTCTAATTAGCTAGTATATCTCCTAGGGTCATTTGAAACTTACAAATTCGTCCATTGTATTTACTCCTGGTAAAAATTCCAGTTATTTCATGTCATTACTTTTAGTCGGATTACTAAGGTTGATCTAAATTCATTGTAAACTATCTATTCAGTTGTTATGTGAGAAAATGTTAATTATCATATCCACTTAGTTTGAGTAGTGATCGCTAATGACAGCTTTGATTCAGGATAAATGACATTCTTTAACTATTTTATTAGAACGTTAGTATTAATGTCAAATTTAGCATGACAGCTAAGTAGAAATTACTAAATGAAGCAGTGAGGCTCAGTTTAATAAACCAATGAACGATATAACAAATAGTTAAAAGCTTATTATTATTAATTATGGCTTTATTCAATATTGTGTTTTTGGTACACTATAGAATTATCAGCACAAAGTATTTCAACAAGCTTCCTTTTCTTATTTCTTGATAGATCCTTACGATAAATATTGAGCGATCGCCTGTTAGATGTTAACAGTTCAGGAATAGACATCTGATTAATGTATATTCTTTTCGATGCATATTACCACCAACCACAATGTCTCTGATTGAGCTCTTTTGTAACTTGTGCAGTGAAATGTCGTAAACTTTTCACAAACGCACCTGAATAGATTATGAGACCAATAGGCATAATGATGTGTTAAAATAAACAATAAAACAGATAACTTGTTTAAATATCCAGATAGCAGGAACAGCTAGCCCAGATATTTAAGCTGACCGCCTTGGTAAAGTTATTCAACGTGAAATAGAGCAATCACAAGTTTAAACAACAAACATAATTCATATATATGAACAATATACATAATTAACAGTTCATTTGTGGGTTAATCTTTCAGAGTTCAATTACTTTTTCCATGAGATGTTATTTATTCCATACAGTTTTATAGTTTAGCGTTTAGCATTACGGTTCATACTATTGCTTATTAATTCCACTAATAGATTCATAATCTCATCCCATATCTGGGAATTTAAATTGGTTTATTCAGTAGTTTATAAATGTTTAATAAACGTTTCTAGGCTTAAAAACAAAACGAAATATATGTTTTCTATTAACACTTATATCCGAAAATATTACTCAGTAAACATAATTAAAATCAGTAGTCTATATTTTATGTATGTTGTATTTTAATATCCCTATCTTTTTTTAAAAAAACAACAAGAATAACCTATGAAGATTCTCAAACATTAGTAGGAAGAAATTCCAGAAGGTAAATGGATATCACCTAAGAAACTATCCGAAATTAGTTTAAGATTATATATCAGTGGATAAACATAACAGGAATGTTTCAAGTTAGACTTAATATTGGGTCATATAGAGATTCTTATAATATAAAGATGACTTTGTAACAAGCAAAGATGGGTTATGACTAGCAGAGGAATCCAGGACGTGCGTTTCGTCCTATCTGGGGTTCGTCAGATGTGTGTACCTGCATCCGGGGTTCAAACCTAGTACCGTTCACTTCAAACGCTATCCCGCAATCCACTTAGCTCCTGAGTCCTGTGCGGATTGCCTCGATATTGCCTAAAGTCACAAGCATTATAAGTAAAAATGGATTCACATATGCTAATAAGTGACTGATTCATTGCAGTTTTAAACAATGATGGAATGATTCAAATAAACTTTACAAAATGAATTTGACCTCTTCTCTCGTTGATATTAGTTTATCACTAAATGTATAATGTATAAAATAAAAATCCAATAAAGCACTTCAGACAATTAAAATAATCCAGTGTGTCATTAAATAAAAATAAAGGGAATTCAGTGAAGAAAATTATTTCTTTAAGACGAAATCATTTACTTAAGCTTTACATTCGTTTTTATATTCATATGGAAAATATGTGTATATAGAAGGATAGAAAAGATTAAGTACATCATACATTGATTCGAGACTCATTATCAGGCAAGGTTAAACAATAATCAATTAGACAATTATCTTTCACGATCCAGCCTTATATTCTTCTCTTATTTCTTGATTACTGAGTAATCTTATCTGATAATAAGAGTCTCAAACCAATTTATCATGCACTCGTTCCTATTCTACTATAGATATCTGTTTTTCATATAATTATAAATACGAATGTAAAGCTTACGTAAATGATTTCGTTGAAAAAGAAAGTTTTCTCCGCTGAATTCTCTTTATATCTAAAGTAAGCACTTGAAAGACTTTAAGTCTTAACTAATCATGAAACTATAATGATTAGGCTAGGAATTATAATCAGTATACAAATTTTAGGATTCGTGTATTATCGTTGTTATCAGTTCATGATAGAAGCTTCAAACTTAACTCTTAATCCTTATTCTTAACTTTATTTTAATATTTTCGCCATTTTCTCAATGCTTATTGATTTAGCTGGATACTTTAGGCGTATCAGCGATTCTTTCCTCTAAAACACTGATTATACTGTTGTGATTCTTTTTTTCATACATTTCAGGAATGGTCGATTCTTCCATGATGCCTATCATGGGTTATCTCGTCGATTTAAGGCATGCATCAGTATACGGTAGTGTCTATGCTATTGCAGATGTTGCATTCTGTTTGGGATTTGCAATTGGTAAGTATAGTCAGATAAAACTATTACAATATATTTATCTGGTCTATTAAAGTACAGTTTAAATAATGATAAGCTTAAAGCAACCACGATGAGTTTCCAGCTAGTTTCTCGCTAGTCAGAAAACAGTTTTTATAAACTAGTAGTATAGACTAGTGAAATGAATAATAATATTGAAGATGATTAATAAGTCTACAGGTTACTCTGCTAGTAAATAAAAAAGCATATGAACTCATCTTAATGCTCACAGACTGACCATCTTCTCGAAGCCTTATAAGGATTCAAACAGATCGTTAAGAGTTCTTAAATCGTTCCTATTTAGAATTCGGAATTTAGGGTAAAGATCAGGGACTTACAGCTGGGTATTTTTTAACACAAACTGACATCAACTATAATGTAAAAATACTCTGCAGTTATATGGATGAATGAATTTCAGTAAAAAAACATAGTAGGTGCTATGTAATCACTGTGTTTCTGGATTAAATGTTTATCATTACGATTTTAAGGATAGCGTTCATTTGTTTGTTATATACAATCTAAGAAGAGGGAATGAATTATTTCATGCATTTCACACTATCATTGTTATTCTATGTTGGCAAAGAATAATTTTACGCTATCGCTTTAGACATTTTGAATACTGCTTGTCAGACATGATATTTGAAGTTCCTGTAAAAACCTAAAGCTTGAATTTTGGATTACCCTAATAACTAGTCACTCAAGGTTTTAGGTTATCGACACAAAACGTTAGTGATAAGCATCTTCCATCTGTCTATTGCATAAAACTTAATAAATGTTCGTATTTGTATCATATTTTACAACATTTTTCTAAAAACGAAATTTAAAAGTATGTAACTCAGCTACAAACTTCTATTTTAGTCACGTCTTGTCTATCAAGAACAAACCAAAATGATGCTAAGAGATGTTAAAAACTGTGAATCAGGTATCGAAATTTACGCTCTCTAACATTTATTCCTAATCGTCCAAATTTTCACCAAATATACATTGAATAGTTGAATTCATAAGTTAATTAAAGCTAGACCACCATGAAAAACTTAGAATGATATTCCTCATCAGTGTGCATCCACGATCCCGCTCGCGGGATTCGAACCCAGAATCCTACGGTCTCGTGAAAGAAGGCTTAACCTGTAGACCACTGAACTGACATCCAATGGTGTTAATGTCTACAATTCGGATAAAGTGTTCTATCATTGATCAAATAACTTTTTTTCTTTGAAATTTCCATGGTGGTCTAACTTCAATTGACTAATGATTTCAACCAGTAACTAAATATATATTTTATTTTTGAAATTTACTAGGACCTATCATTAGTGGTGCAATGGTCAAAAGTATTGGATTTAAATGGTAAGACAAAACTATATTATGATTTTCTTAATACAATTTGAATTATATACGTATATATTCCAATGTTAAAATAGCATTAATTCATCACAAATCAGTAGAATTAACTTAATAAATGGATTGTTTCGAGGTATCTCAAATCAGAATAATTGAAGAGAAAACTAAACTTTGGTTGTTGAAATAATCAATCTACTATAATATTACTACTTTTTCATGCTGTGGTTTTACAATTAGTTGTAATGTGGTGTGTGCTACCGATGCCGACAGATATATGTAGTATGTATCACCAATTGAAAGTGGGATAACTAACGACAAAAGATTGAGAAAACCGTGGAGAAAAAAACGAGAACATAGAGTGATTGATATGAAACCGAAGGAATAACAAAGTCTGAGACAATTGATAGTTAATTTACAAATAAAGTATTTACTATACGGTTCCCAGATTTTATCAAGACATTATGTAATGTTATATTAAAGTACATTTGGTTGTTCCCACTTGTGTTCTCGTTTACAATAGTAATATTTGTACTTAAAAACCAAAACAATGTTTAGATCTAAAGCAGTTATTACAGTTATTTGTTACTTTGATCCCTCATGGAATTATTTAAAAATAGTGTTCATGATTTTGCTGTTTAACCTAAGGAAGTGATACACTTTGCTTCAAATTTACAACTGATGAATCAGTTGTCGTTATTGTGAGTAAACAACTGTGAAACACAAGTGTCAGATATAATAATTGTTAAAAAGTACCAATTATAAGGTGTTTTTGTAAAATGATGTTCTTCGAGTAAAGTAGGTTGATTGAAAATCTTTCATTGTTGTTCTGAACAAAATCACTATTGTCTACTATAAACAGAAATTAATTTTTTCCACAAGGCTGAAATCCGTTTGTCCAGGGGACTATATTAGTAACCGATTGACTGAAGAGGATTAGAATATACAACTCAGTGATGATACCAGAAAGCATAATCAGTTACAGGAGAATAATCAAAAAGGGGTGATTCAACGCTTTTGAAATAATTTTCTGCATATGGTAAACCCTGTATAATGGTTAGCATCTAGTCTGAAGGTGTATTCTCATGCTATAGTATAAATGTAAGGCAGAGTATGTAAAGAAAACCAGAAAATAGAACAAGCAAAAAGTGAGCTGACTACTCAGGGAGTACACTTGATAAGATTATCCACAAATATAATGAGAGCTTTATAGCTAAGTTACTTAGCTTAAAAGAATAAAAACACCATCAAAATAATTCACTTGGGCCATAAATCTTGTTATAAATCTACGTTTCTCAAAGTGTTCAAATGTCTCAAACAATCTAGAACCTAAATATCTAGTTTTATATCAATGTTTTTTTCTTCCTAATATTAGGATGCTTTGGTTCATTGCAATTGTCTCCCTCCTTTATTCTCCATTGACATTATATTTGAGGAATCCACCAAAACGAGATGAAGCTCAGGTGAGTACATCTGTAATACATTAAAAATAATATCATTATCCTATATAAAGACTTATACATACGCTAAAATTTGAAGTATCTTGTTAAACAAATATACATCTCAGCTATTCAGTCATCAAATGAAATCGCAGTCTTTTATAACATAATCTTTGAAAATCTAAACTGAATTAAGTGAAATTAGTAAGGAAATCCAATTTATTGTTTTGATATTTAGGACTGTAACCAATCATTTTCTGTTATCAGTATGTATATCCTCAGTGACTTACATCGATCTAGTTATCAGTGACATTCGGAATATACATTTTGTCATATTTATAAATCGTTAGCTGGATATACCTCTATCATAGTGTCAATGTTCACACTCAGATTTGAATGTAGTACCTAAGTTTTAATTATGTAGACACTTAAAGTCTACTTACAAATTATAGAAATGTAACCAATCAGAAATTAATATAAATATATTATAACATAGTGTATTATAAATTCACTTGTATCTTCCCATTGTTATTTAGGACTGCAATTGATCAGTCTCTTATTGGCATATATGCATCCTGTGTGGATTACCTCGATATAGTCTTACATCACAAGCTTTCTAAGCAAAGGTGGATAGTGGCTAGCTGTGAAATCCAGAACGCGCGCCACTTCGTCCTATTTGGGACTCGTTAGCCGAATGTACCTGCATTCCAGACTGATCAATTGCAGTCCTAAATAATAGTGGGAAGATACAAGTAAAACAACACCAAGTGAATTTAAACTCCAGCCCATTACACAAGTAGCTGGCTATCAGGACTCAGTAGCTAGGTGGATAACGTGATGGCGTTTGAAACGAACGGTACTGGGTTTGAGTCTCGGAGTGAACATCAACTCTGGTATACAGGTAACTCTAGCTGACGAGTCCAGAATAGGACGAGACACACTTCCTATGTTCCACTGCTAGCCACTATCCATATTTACTTAAATAGTGTAATATAGAATAAAACTAGGTTAATGATGATGATAATAATCTATTCATTTAAAATCTGAGAGCACATTCTTCAAGTTTTCAAAAATTGATACTAGCAGTAGAATCCAGGATGCGCATTTAGCCCTATTTGAGACTCATCATCTGGATTCACCTGTATCCCTGAGTGGATGCTGGCTATCTGGACATTATAGTTTAGTAAATAAGACGTTGAACATTCAAAGCGATAAGTATTTCATTCAAGTTTCAGTGCGAACATTAACAATGGATCACAATCACATCAAGCTGACGAGACATGGATAGAACGAAACATATGCTTTAAATTTCATCTCTTGTCACAATCTAAATTTCAAGTTTTTACCATTTTACTTCAAATATTCATCATACAGATAAAACACAATAACTTGACAGAAAGCATCTATGCACGAGACCGAAGGTTCTGGGTTTGACTCCCGAGAGTGGGATCGTGAATTCGCACTGCTGATGAGTCCCAAAATACGACGAAACGGTCATCTAGTGCTTCCAAGTTTTCAGTTTCGCGCTCGGACCCCTGACATCTGAAACACACAGCCGGGATTCCACAGTGTACATGTCTGACTTCACTGAATCCTCTCTAGTGAGGAAATGATTACTACTAGTATGCGAGAGTTTGTGGATATTGTAGAGTGGTTACATCGCGGATCGACTCAAGTTACAAGTGATCGTCACTGTATGTCGTCTTTGTGGTTTAGGAGTTGAACAACCTCTTTTGAGACCGAAATCCTCGAGATCAATCCACAATGACACTGTCTTGAGTACACACAAACTAGGATGAAATAGCTATTCAGTGATTCCTGGTTTTCAATTGTGTTTAAGCTAAAATCAGTTAGTGGTTCAAACCATGAACATTCTACAACGTCCATAAACCCCTTTACATCAATATTAAGCGTTATAGAAAATCGATTAACATTAATTAATTTGAAATTTTATTTCAGTCACTTGTTACAACAAAAAATGGAAACCAACAAAAAGAATTAAATTCTTTCGAAAAAGATCCTAAGACAACGATAACTGGAATTCCAACAATATGTTTGGGCTCTACAATCGATTATGATCCTACACATGGAGGACTTCAAGAATATCGATATGAATAAAGAACAAAAAGGTAATTCATTATCATGAACTACTAAAAATATTTTATTGTAAAATGATGAATTAAAACTGATACAAGTTTTCTAAATACACTTCTGAGTTGTATAAATTAATAGCCAGATACCATTTTATGAGTTTGAATTATGGAAACATAGAATAGTCGTCTTATATATTTGTAATCAACCTTAGTCAAAATATTTTATAAATGATTCGTTTGAGACATTCTAAGCCATGAGTCACTTGAAATCTCATCAGTTAATTAAGACTAATCAAATATGCAATAAATTGAGTGACTTCTTTATAAACCAGTTGAGATAGGTTACTAAGACTTAATGAACTTTTCCATTAACCTTGTAGTACATTTTTGTATTGTTTAGTAGAACTAGTCTGACTAAATTCTTACGAAATCGAATACACACACTTTTTTCTAACGTGTCACTTGAGAAATAATTTTATGAAGTTTGTTCTAAACAAAGAGAACAATATTATTTTGTCATTAAGAAGTTGTGCAGACTGTTGAATTTCGTTGACATCACTAACCGATCTAAGTTAGTCAACCAAGAAAATCTGGAAGCACCGGATGGTCGTTTAGTTCCAGAATAAGATTTCACAGCAGTGTGCATCCAGCAACCCACAAGTGGAAATCTAACCCAGGGTTTTCTGAGTCATAAGCTAACGCTTAACCCCTAAAACACTGAGTCGGCATCCAACTTTTTTAATTTCTAACTTCCATCAATCCACGACATTACGCGATCATCTTTAATCACTTTCGTTGGGTAACTGCATCATACCCGACACCAATTGGATGCGCACTGCTGTGAAGTCTCATTCTGAGACGAAACGGCATTCCAGTGCTTCCAAATTTTTATTGGTTGCCTAATTTAGATCGGTTCGTGATTTCAATGGGTTTCCTTTATTTGAGTTTATCTTGTCCGACTAACTAAGTCTGAAAAACAACCTTAGTTTAACATTAATTACATTCAATATCTAGTTGTATACCTCGTTATTTATTGATGCCATCTGTTGTGTCAAATGTGCAAATTCCTTGTTCAACACTTGATATTCAGGGTGTTATGTGATGAAATTTGTAAGATGTTACAATATAGTGGCTTGAGGTACTCAACAGGAAACCCTGCACCTAGGTTTCTTGCTACTTGGCACTCGTCAGCAAGGTGTGCCTGAAATCCTGAGGGAATTGATGCTCATTGATGACTCCGTGCTACACAGCTTCACAGTCAGAGACGTTACCACTGAGCCATCCAAACCATGACTGACCTCCTGTAGGACTGAGATGTATTTACAATTGGTTGATCACTGGGTGGTGATCAATGTCATGTATGTCAGGTCCTTCTTAGTGCAGATCGAATCCTATCGACCAAGTTGCAACGTGGTCTAGTCTAGGTGATTTGACATTGAGTGCACTATGTTGAGATAAGATGGTGGTTACAGGTAGTTGTTAGAAATGTTCAGTGCTTCAATCAGTTAACCACTAGAACGCGTAAAAACATAGTGTCATTTATGAGGGCTAGTTTTAAACTGACAGTGAAAACAGTTATGCTTTTTCAATCCTATATCCTGTAGTTGATACTAGATTAATAGACTAAACTTAAAGGAATATTATACACGTGTCTTAAACGGTCAGTATTCAACCAACAAATGAGAATCATATATACATCAGATAGTAATTGCGCAACACAAACAGTCTAAACAGAGAATTCACAGTAGATCTAGAGCTGGTTACAAAATATTCATTTATATTCCTGTAACCAGATATCTCTATCTTCATTCACTAACCAATCACTGTTCATCATTACTTTAGACATCACAAATCTTACGTTGTTATTTACCAGTTGAATATTTTCTACCAGTACACTCAATGTGAAAACAATTTTTAATATATATATCATGCTTCAAAGCATCTCATCAAATTTAAACAGTCTAAATTTCCAATTAGTTATGTTATTGTAAACAAAGTATTACATAACTTAGTCGATTGAGTTTGATTCAAAACAGTACAAGTTACAAGAACAGGAAACATTATATTTAATATAATACGTTGGAAATGAAATCATATAAATAAGAGAGTGACGCAATAAATAATCATCATTATAATAATAAGAAAAAAATGAAGGAAACAACTTTTTTGACAGATAAATGTTGATTATTAGAATGAGAGTTTGTGGAGACTGTAGTGATTTTAATGGTCGAATTCATGAATTGATGTAAGCTAGCCCACCATCGAAAATTTCAGAAAATGAAAGAATGGTTGCACAAGATCATAAACCGATTGAATTTAAACATTAACACCGTTGGGTACTGATTTAGTGCTCTAGAGGTTAAACATTCGTGAACGAAATCGATGATCTCAGGTTCAAGTCCTGCATGCAGGATCATAGACGAGAACCGACGAGGAGTTCCATCTTAGGACGAACAGGCCATCCAGTACTTTCAGGTTTTCAATGGTGGTCTAGCTTACATCGATTCATGAATTCAAACATTAAAATAGATGATAACCACATCAATTAATTGTTATAAATCGATGTAAAATTAATAATATTGTCTAGAAAGACAGCAAAATAAATTAGTCGAAACATTCATTTAACTGATATAAATGAACTAAGCTTATCTATGTAATGGCTGATCATTAAATTCATTTAACGTCTGTATACGGGATAGTTTATTCAAACAAGTTATCCAATCCCAAAACATTTCTTCATGATACATTCCCTATTAGATTAATAGTTGATATGACGGCAGAATAAATATTTGCCACAATGGCCTACTGTAATAATAATAGTAATAATAATAATAATAATATGTGCACGTTGTTATACTACTACTTAACTGGATGCTCAATCAATACGCTATACTTAGACCTGGATCATATTACACCAGATACACGATTCATGATTAATTATGGAAAGCTAGATTATAGACCAAACAATAGATTTTTTTACTTAAACAGTAGCAGTACACACATAGTAGGTCCAGAGGATAAATGAGTAACAGAAAGGAGTTCATATGTTAAATGATAAACTGAATGTTTAATTGCTTTCATTCAGTAGTCACTGAATGAACATCAATAAATTTGTATCACTCCTTGTGGATGTTTATCACTTATGTGATATCGTTAGGATGCATAGAAGACAACGATAACTCTAATGATAACCACAATCTCATATACAATAGCTTCATTATCTTCTAGCCACAGCTACTCCAAAGTTAAGGTAGAGTTATTGGAAGAAACTAAAAAAGATTATGATTTACATATAAGTTAATTCAGTTGTAAATCAATTCAATGATTATTGATTATAAAATACTATCAACTAAGTAATTATCACTAAATACAAAATCATAGTAAAATAATCAGCTTGGGAGAATTGTATTGAGGATTAGATAATTACCTACAACTGAAAACACTCTGACAGTTAAGGATATGACAAAAGTGAATATTTAGTAGTCTATACACACGAGATGTATTATCTTATTGGTTATTAGATGAATACAAAAAATTTTGATCCGTGTGAAAACCACCGAAACATCTCGGTTTGTAATCATCAATCTATAAAACTATACAATAAAACTAATAAAAAAAACTCAATAAACTCTCGAAGGTGACACACAGTGTTGTCTTTATACTTATTTACATTCAAGAGTTCGTGAGGAATCTTTGAAATTTCTGAAAATTTGTTTTCAGTAACATGAAAATCGTTTTTTTTTTAGAAGTCTGCTCACCTTTTTTCAACTTCTTTTTCCTCTTGTTTTTATATTGTCTAATGATGGGATAACACAAATCTACTACTTACACAAAATAAAATGTCAAACTTGATTTTTAACACTTATTAAATTATCAGAAGATGTTTTGTGGAAATTTTAAAAATTTCACTGATTGAAATCATGAGTCAGTTAAAGTTAGACCACCATGGAAAATCTGGAAGCACTGAACGGCCGTTTCGTCATGGTATGGGACTCCTCAGCAGTGCGCATCCACGGTCTTGCACCCCGTGAGATTCGAACCTAGGACTTGTTAAATTAATTGTATTTTCAACAACCAGTTGATTGAAATACTTCGGGTTTGTTAATGTTTCTATCTTTCAAGGTCATATTGGTCACTACGCATAGATAGTTTTCCCATTTTGATTTTGTCTTTAGGAATATTAGGTATATTTTTTTCTGTACCGTTGTCTATATTGTCATCTCTAGTTAAATCTTTAAGAGTAATGACGATTTTTAAATTTCTGAAGTAATATCTAAAGGTTAAGCGTTCGCACGCGAGACCGATAGATCCTCGGTTTGAATCCCGCGAGCGGGATTGTGGATGTGCACTGCTGAGAAGTTCCATACTAGGACAGAACGGACATCCAATGCTTCCAGGTGTTTCATGGTGGTCTAGCTTTTGTCACCACTAAATCACTATAATATCCACAAAAGTTCCTTTCTGATAAAAAAAACCCTATATCTTTATTATTACTTTTTTTAGATGATCCTATAAACAAAGAAATTATGTTGTCTTTCATTCTATAGAAACAAAAAAAAAGAAATCAATCTTATAACCAATTTCAATAACACCATAAACTGTCATTAAATATTTGTCTATATCCATACAATACTCTACCCCCCCCTCCCTTCGCGTTATAAATGTATATCTTTGTATCCTGCTGATTTTAATTAAACACATTTGATCTATACAAAATACCGCAGAATTCATTATCAACTATGAAATTCTTAGAACATAGTTAATGAACAAGAAAAAAGAGCAACAATAACAACAACAACAACCGATTCATGTCCAAAATGTGTTAATCATTGATTATTAAGGTTCAATGACCCTATAAATATACAATTCATTTCAAATTTATTAATTATTCATTATAATTTTTAGAAAGTTAAATCATACTTTACACGAAATTCAAAAACATACACCAATGATGTTTATTTATTTATTTAAACAAAGTAAATTCAATGTAAATTTATGTTTAATCGTTTCTTATTTCTTTCATGT